TTTCTACCAACAGGGGGAGGGGGAATCCTGAGGGAGGGGAAAGAGGGATTTCAGGGGGAGGGGGAATACTGAGGGAGGGGGAAGGGGGATTTCAGGGGGAGGGGGAATCCTGGGGAGGGACAGAGGGAACCCAGGGGGAGAGGAGCAGAAATCCTGTGGGAGTGGAGTCCGGGGGAGGAGGAGTCCTGAGGGGAGGGGAAAGGGAAACCTGGAAGAGGGGGGAGGGAGAATCCTGGGGGAGGGGAAGGGGGAATCCTGGGGAGGGGCAGAGGGAACCTCTGGAGAGGGAAGAAGAAATCCTGTGGGAGAGGGAGTCCCGGGGGAGGGGGAAAGGAGAAACCTGAGTGAGGGGTAGAAGGAATCCAAGGGAATATGAAATTCTGGGGAAGGGGGGAAACTAGACGGAATCCTCAGGGAGGGGTAGAAAACGCCAGCTCCTCTGCATCCTGAAGGGGGGGAGGGGGCTGCTTCCACTCTCCCCCCCCCTCCATGGTGCAATGGGCAGGAAGGGGTGCAAGGAACAATCCAGAGCAGGGGTCTTCAAACTTGGCCCTTTTATGACTTGTGGACTTCAACTCCCAGAATTCCTCAGCCAGGCACACTGGCTGAGGAATTCTGGGAGTTGAAGTCCGCAAGTCATGAGGGGGCCATAGTTCCCCCATGCTGGCTGAGGAATTCTGGGAGTTGAAGTCCACGAGTCATAAAAGGGCCAAGTTTGAAGACCCCTGTTCCAGACCGTATTGCTCAACCTCAGGAACCTGAAGATGGGTGGTCTTCAACTCCCAGAATTCTCCTGGCTGGCTGAGGAATTCTGGGAGTTGAAGTCCACCTATCTTAAGTTTCTCAACAGGGCATTCCAACCGAGCTGGAAATTCTGTTTATTAATTTATTTATTTATTAATTGCATTTATACCCCGCCCTTCTCCTAGTGGACTCAGGGCGGCTGTTGCTGGAGATTAGAAATGTCGGCTTGATTTGACGTCTCTTTTTTTCCCCCTTCTTGAATTTTCCCCTCTCCAGGAAAGATGGCTGAGACTTTGGGGGTCTCTGAGAAAGTGACCCTCTTCCGCCAGAAAAACGGGGTCACTTACCGTGTCCCGGCTCTGCTCTACCTGCCCTCGGAGTCCACCTTCCTGGCCTTTGCAGAGGAGCGCTCCTCGGTGGAGGACCAAGATGCCAGGTCCTTGGTGATGCGACGTGGACGGAAAGAGGGCCTGTCCGTCAAGGTAACCCCAGAATCCAAAACTAGCTTTCTGCCTCTGGTCATTTCACTTTCCACCTTTCAGAGATGGATTCAGAGCACCCCATACATTCTCTTTCCACCCCATGTCGTAGTGCAGATAGTCTTCGACTTCAGACTATAATTGGACCCAGCATTTCCGGTTGCTAAGCAAGATAATTGTTCAATTAGTTTTGCCTGTAAATACGAGTCGGTTGCCCAGGGTTTGAATTTTGATTACGTGACCGTGGGGATGCTGCAGTCAGTGTGAACCATGTCACAAGTCCCCTTGTTGAGTGCCGTTGTAGCTTAAAAAAGCCACTAAACAAAGCATTGTAAGTTGAGGACTACCCGTATGGCTTCATTCACACGACCACCTGATCCAGACCAACGAATATCCGGGGTTGCTACCTTATTGCAGCATGCTAAATTTGGTTGGTATCAAACTCAGTTTATTTCGGTGTGTTCCAAGTTACAACGGCACTGAAAAAAGAGACTAAGGACCGTGTTTCCCACTTACGACCGTTGCAGCATCCCCTTGGTCACGTGATCAAAATTCGGATGCTTGGCAAGTGGTTCATATTTACGACGGTTGCAGTGTCCGGGGGGGGGGGGTGTCATGTGATCCCCTTCAGACAAGCAAAGTCAACAGGGGAATCCAGTTTCACTTCACAACTGGCAATGTAGGTCGTAAAATGGGGAGAAAACTCGCTTCACAAATTTCTCACTTAGCAACAGAAACGGGCTCCATTGTGGTCGTAAGAGGAGGATTCCTGTACCTCATGCATGAATTAGAATACTGTGGCTTGCTGCCTAACTGGGCTTAAAACAAAACATGGTTTAGTGCAAAATAGCCGAAACAGGTTCCAAGTCTTTGCTTTCTCTTTGCCAAAGAAAGCTGATGTGATTATCCAAGATCCAATGGATTTCTTCATATCTGACCATTTCATATCTTCTCTCTAGTGGGATCCCCAAGAACGTCTTGCCACGGCCACGTTGCCAAAATACCGCCCCATGAGCCCCTGCCCCGTCTACGAGGCCAAGGACGCCACCATTTTCTTGTTCTTCATTTGTGTGCTTGACCACATCACGAACAAACAACAGATCTGGACGAGCAAAAACGTGACCAGGCTGGCCTACATCTTCAGCAAAGATGGCGGACACACCTGGAGCCCAACGACGGACATGACCGAACAGGTGATTGGAGAGGATGTGAGGAACTGGGCCACGTTTGCTGTGGGACCGGGCCACGGGGTGCAGCTGAGCTCCGGGCGGCTGGTCATCCCGGCCTACGCTTGCTACATTCACACACGTTGGTTTGGATACCCATTGTGCTGTGGCACCAAACCGCACCCCTTCGCTTTCTACAGCGACGATAGTGGGAAGACGTGGCTGAAGGGCCAGCTTCTCCGAAAACCTGTGCGGGCCTCGGAGTGCCAAATGGCAGAGGTGGTGGACCTGAACAACAGCCCGGTGTTATACTGTAACGCCCGTGGCGGTGACGGATACCGAGTGGAGGCCTTCAGCAGAGATGGTGGAAGCCTCTTTGAAGCCCCCTTCCAATCTCAGAAGCTGGCGGAGCCTCATAATGGATGCCAAGGCAGCGTGGTGAGTTTTCCTTCACCACAACTGGGGTCTCCCTTGGCCTCCTCAAAGACCCCCAAATCATGGTTGATCTTCTCCCATCCCACCAACCGAAAGGAGCGTGCGGATCTGGGCATCTACTTGAACCCCTGTCCATTGGAGGAGAATTCCTGGAAGACGCCATGGATCTTGAACACAGGACCCAGTGGCTACTCAGACTTGGCTGTTTGCACTGGGGAAAATCCCCTCTTCTTTGGGTGTTTGTTCGAATGTGGAGAGTCGATGTACTGCGAAGAGATCGCCTTCCGATTGTTCAGTGGCGCAAAACTCCTGAAAACTCAGGACGCAACCTGTGCAGAAAAGAATTAACTCCCTATATAAGCCAGACCCACATCTTTGAGGCCCATCAGCACCAGAGGAAGATTAAATCACAGACTTTTTACACGTATCTTTTATGAAAGAAACTTTTTAACAGAGTTAAAAAAACATAATAGGAACTAACCGGAAAGGAAACTAAAGACAATAAAGAAAAATAGTAAATAGTGAAAAAAGAAAACGTGACAAAAAAAAGAATTATATAAAATATAATCTGATCTTCTTGACCGGTTATAGATGCGTGTATATTTTCCGTCAGGAAATTGCGCAGCCGTGTCCAAATGAAGTCGGAGACGCGGACAGGAATTGTAATTTTATAGAAATAAATATGTTTTGTAACTATATATATAGCAAACTAGATAAGTCAGGCAAACAGGAACATCATGAGGTAAATCAAGACAGGAGCATCATGAGGTAAATCTAGACAGCCGGAACATCATGAGGTAAATCTACAGCTAGAACATCATGAGGTAAATCTAGACAGCAGGAACATCATGAGGTAAATCTAGACAGCCGGAACATCATGAGATAAATCTAGACAGCAGGAACATCATGAGATAAATCACAGAGCGCATAGAAGAAAAAGGTGGGAAAAAGTGAACCTCCCACTCCAGAGCAGCCAGTGTCCAAATGAAGTCGGAGACGCCGACACGAATTGTAGTTTTATAGAAATAAATATATTTTGTAACTATATATATACAGCAAACTAGATAAGTCAGGCAAACAGGAGCATCGTGAGGGAAATCAACACATTAGGAAAATCATGAAGGAAATCACATTTCCATTGCTAAGCGAGACAGTTGCTGTGTGAGTTTTGCCCCATTTTACGACCTTGTTAAGTTAGTTGCACAGTGAGCTAAGTGGTTTCCCCACGAACTTTGCTTGTCAGAAGGTCGCAAAAAGAGGATTACGTGAGGCCGAGACGCTGCAACCGTCATAAATCTGAGTCAGTTGCCAAGTGTCTGAATTTTGTAAAGTTTTTATTGATTTTTCTTTTCATACAATTCAGTTGTATTTATTCAATAAACGTGTCGCCTGAGTTTATCATTCACCAATACAAATTTAATTCCTAATCCTTTATTCTTTTCTCCAGCCATTGATAGAAGAAATCCGAAGTTTGAATATTCTATTTTCTTCTTTTTCTTTCAACCTCATAGTAACCTCATGAAAAAATGCTAGAATGTCCAAATGTCTGAATTTTGATCACCTAACCATGCTTGTAGTGGTTATAAGTGTGAAACACGGTCATACATCATTTTTAGTGCCGTTGTAACGTCAAGCAGTCACTAAAAGAACGGTCATAAGTTGAGGACTATCTTTCAACATGGATCCATATACCTGCTACTCTGATGCCATTCCGAAATGCATTTCAAGCTGATTATTTTCCCAAGCTACCTTGGGATAGCATCAAGGTTAGCTCTCTGGACCCATGTCTCTTTGTTTCTTTATCATTCAATATAGCTAGTCCTCGACTTACGACCGTTGGTCACTAAGTAATGTAGTTGTTTAAGCGAGTTGTGATATAACTGCACCTGATTTAGCGACCATTTTTACCATGGTCTGTAAGTGGATCACACAGTCGTTAAGCAAATCCAGCTTCACCAATTAATAGAAGCCTGCTGGGAAAGTCACTAAATGGGAATCCACGTTGTGGGCCTGATATGACCGTCGTAACTCTGAGGAGGAGTTGTAGGTCATTTTTTTCCCAAGGCCAGGGGTAGGCTCTTTTATGACTTGTGGACTTCAACTCCCAGAATTCCTGAGCCAGCAATGATGAGGAAAAAGGGAGAGGTTTCCAAGCTGAGCCATGCTGGCTCAAGAATTCTGGGAGTTGAAGTCCACAAGTCATGAAGGCGCCATAGTTCCCCCATGCTGGCTCAGGAATTCTGGGAGTTGAAGTCCACAAGTCGTGAAGGGGCCACAGTTCCCCCCATGTTGGCTCAGGAATTCTGGGAGTTGAAGTCCGCAAGTCATGAAGGGGCCATAGTTTCCCCATGCTGGCTCAGGAATTCTGGGAGTTGAAGTCCACAAGTCATAAAAGAGCCAAGGTTGCCCAGCCCTGCCCAAGGCCATCATAAATTTGAATTGTTGTTATGAATGGTTGTAAGTCAAGGTCTACTTAGTGTAAAGCATGAGGAATTTATTTATTTATTGTTCTTTTTTAAAAAAAACATGTAATTTTTATGGGAGACGTTTTTAATAGAGTTAAACACCCTAGTGGAAACTAACCATAGAAGAAACAAAAGGTAATAAGGAAAAATAGTAAATACAGTAGTGAAAAAAGAAAATAGGAAAAAAAATGAATTGTACAAGAAGCAACGGATTGAAACTAATCAGGGAGAGAAGCAACCTAGAACTAAGGAGAAACTTCCTGACAGATCAATTAACCAGTGGAACCACCTGCCTCCAGAAGCTGTGAATGCTCCAACACTGGAAGTTTTTAAGAAGAGACTGGACAGCCATTTGTCCGAAATGGTATAGGGTTTCCTGCCTGAGCAGGGGGTTGGACTAGATGACCTCCAAGGTCCCTTCCAACTGTATTATTATTATATTGAAGCAGGTTCTGATCTTCTTGACAGTGGTTACAGATACAGGTATATTTTGCCCTCTCTCTCTAAAGTTACATCATAATTTACTTTTTTCCGTAACCTACCTTTTCTCAATCTTCTAATACATTTAGTGTAAATTGATTTTTTTTTTCCTTCTTTTTTTCAGCAAAATGTCCATAAGGGATTTGCAGCCACTGACAAATGTGGTTGTTGATCTTCCTCTGAATCAATTTTGCCACCTCTGCTTGTTCCGTCATCTTCATCAGCCATTCCTGGTAATTTCAGAGTTGTTCCGTTTTTGCACATATTAATAACCTCAGATAAATAATCATATTAAAATGACTAATTAATATGTTCCTTGACCTTTTTTCTCATCCACCAGCCCCGGTAAGAAAACAATCGGATTTCCATTGAATGTTGATCTTTAAAACTCTTTGTATTTATAAAGTAATAAAGATGTCATGAAAAAAAATCTAATAAATAAAGATGTCTTTGAACCTAGAAATTTCTGGCTTTTTTTTTTTTTTTACAAATCCACCAAGCATAATAAAATGATTGTTAATATTGTCCATATTTCCAACATAATTTTGAAGTGCCTTTATTATACGTTCTGGACAATTTTTCTGTCCCCTTTTAGGTTATAACATCAAGTAAAATGGGAATTGTTTTTTTTTAATCTACATAAAATAATTCACGCACATTCAGAGACGGACCTCCATCTATTTAAGCACCACCCTAGAAAGCAGGAGCTGGAGAGTTCTAGTCCCGCCTTAGCCATGAAAGCCACCTGGGTGATTTGGGATCAATCACTGGGAACTGGAGAGTTCTAGTCCCGCCTTAGCCACAAAAGCCACCTGGGTTAGTGGTGGCGAACCTATGGCACGGGTACCAGAGGTGGCACTCAGAGCCCTCTCTGTGGGCACGCGCGCCCTTGCCCCAGTCCTGGGCCTTCAGCTGGGTTTTATAAAACCTTTTCGCTTTAGGCCTCTGCCGCCGTGTACAAAAAAAAAAGGTTCAATCAGTCAATTTCAACTTCTCGCGGGGAAAAAAAAAGATCTTGCAAAGTTGGAATTGATTGATTGAACTTTTTAGTCCCACCCAGTCTGCCGTTACCACCGCAGCCACGCCCACCCAATAGGCCATGCCCACCCAATGGGCCACACCCAGCCAATGGGCTACACCCACCTGGCACCCGACGATGCATAAGTTTTGGGTTGCCATTTGGGCACTCGGTCTCTAAAAGGTTCGCCATCACTGGTATAGGGGGTACCTTGCTCAATAGTAGTAACTGTGAGAGGGACCTCACTTAGATATGAGCCAGCCGTGTGCTGCAGCTGCCAAAAAACCCAACACAGTGCTGGGCTGCATTAACAGAGGGAGAAAATCAAGATCACGGGAAGGGTTAATACCACTTTACAAGGCGTTGGTAAGGCCACACTCAGAATACTGCATCCAGTTTTGGTCACCACAATGTAAAAAAGATGTTGAGACTCTGGAAAGAGTGCAGAGAAGAGCAACGAAGAGGATCAGGGGACTGGAGGCTAAAACATATAAGGAACGGTTGCTGGAATTGGGTATGTCTAGTTTAACGAAGAGAAGGATGAGGGGGGACATGATAACAGAGTTCCAGTATCTCTCCCCGACGGGGTTTCTTCTCCCTCAGTTCGATAAGAGGTTTCGGGGACTTCCGTCCTGTTCTTCGTTGCCTACCTTTGATTAGTTCCTCTCTTCGTTGGATCTTGATTCCTCTTTGAAGGACTGTCAATCTTGTTAATTGGTCACCTTGTTGGACGGAGGTCTTCGCCACTTACGAGGTTGTGACGAAGTTTTTAAGACGAGACTGGACAGCCACTTGTCTGAAATGTTATAGGGTTTCCTGCCTGAGCAGGGGGTTGGACTAGATGACCTCCAAGGTACCTTCCATCATCACCATCATCACCATCATCACCATCACCATCATCATCATCATCATTATTATTATTATTATTATTATTATTATTATTATTATTATTATTATTATTATTATTATTATTATTATTATTATTATTATTATTATTATTATTATTTAAGCAATTCACCCAGCAAAGCTGGCACAGATAAGATAAAGACTTTGCCCTTTAAGGCTGGCACACTGTAGATAAGAAGGAAGACAGCAGAAGTAGCTAAAAATGTTCCCTTTTGGGTGTTTTCCTAAGACACCATACGTTCTCGGGTGGGTTAGGATATTGGGCGTTTCCTTTGGTGTCCTGTTAATATGACCTTCCATTCGTGGTTCTGCAAGTGGCCAGAGAGAGCTGGGCCATCTGCACGTATTCACAATTGATACTGTCCTCTTAAGTCCGGGTCAACAAGACAACTTGCAAGATCCCTTACAGCTCTATTCTGATTGATTGATTGATTGATTGATTGATTGATTGATTGATTGATTGATTGCCATCTGCAGCCTTCCCATCCAGCTTCTGACAAGCAAATCAATGGGAGGTTCAGGCTACCTGGAGGTTTACCTGTGTCCTCGGGGTCACCTGAGTGGTGCAAATGGGTGTGGAGCCTCCTTGGAACTGTGAGAAGGACCTTGTTGTAGACTGGAGGTAGATGACGTTGTATCCTCCCCCTCGGTTGGGAGAGGGCTGTTCAAAATTGAAGAAGGAAGGCCCCACGCCCATTGCCACCACCCAGGTGACCCTGAGGACACAGGTAAATCTCCAGGTGTCCCCAATGACTCTCTAAAAGGAGGCAAATGACCAGCTGTCTGCAAGGAGTATAAATCCTTCCATTCCCCATCATCCAGGCGGAGCTGAAGAAGCATCTGGGATGAGAAGCGAAAAGTCTTCAAAGAAAAAACAAGGAAGTCCAGTGGCTTCTTGAAAAAGGCACTTTTGGGTGAGTTCCATGTTGTTTCTCTCCTTGGTTAGTTTATAATAATAATAGTAATAGTAATAGTAATAGTAGTAATAATAATAATAATAATAATAAGAAGAAGAAGAAGAAGAAGAATAAGAAAGTTGGCTTTTTTGGCAGCTGCAGCACACTGCTGGCTCATATTTAATAATAATAATAATAATAATAATAATAATAATAATAATAATAATAATAATAATAATAATAAAGTTGGAAGGGACCTTGGAGGTCTTCTAGTCCAACCCCCTGCTCAGGCAGGAAACCCTATCATTTCGGACAAATGGCTGTCCAGTCTCTTCTTAAAAACTTCTTCTGGAGGCAGGTGGTTCCACTGGTTAATTGTTCTCACTGTCAGGAAGTTTCTCCTTAGTTCTAGGTTGCTTCTCTCCTTGATTAGTTTCCATCCGTTGCTTCTTGTCCTGCCTTCAGGCGCTTTGGAGAATAGCTTGACTCCCTCTTCTTTGGGGCAGCCCCTGAGATACTGGATCACTGCTATCCTGTCCCCCCTCGTCCTTCTCTTCGTTAAACTAGACATTCCCAATTCCAGCAACCGTTCCTCATATGCTTTAGCTTCCAGTCCCCTAATCATCTTTGTTGCTCTTCTCTCCACTCTTTCTAGAATCTCAGCGTCTTTTTTACATCGTGGTGACCAAAACTGGATGCAGTATTGCAAGCGTGGCCTTACTAAGGCCTTGTAAAGTGGTATTAATACTTCACGTGATCTTGATTCTCTCCCTCTGTTAATGCAGCCCAGCACTGTGTTGGCTTTTTTAGCAGCTGCAGCACACGGCTGGCTCATATTTAAGGGATTGTCCACTAGGACTCCGAGATCCCTCTCACAGTTACTACTATTGAGCAAGGTACCCCCTATACTATACCTGTACATTTGGTTTTTCTTGCCTAAATGTAGAACCTTACTTTTTTCACCCTTGAATTTCATTTTGTTAGATAGCGCCCAGTGTTCAAGTCTGTCCAGATCCTCCTGTATCCTAAGCCTGTCTTCTGGAGTGTTGGCTATTCCTGCCAGCTTGATGTCGTCTGCAAATTTGATGAGTTCCCCATCTATCCCCTCGTCCAAATCATTGATGAAGATGAAGAGCACTGGGCCCAGAACAGAGCCCTGGGGCACCCCACTACACACTTCCCTCCATGTAGATGTGGTTCCATTGAGGACCACACGCTGAGTACGGCCGGTCAGCCAGCTGCGAATCCATCTGGGGGGCGATGCTGTCTAACACGCCTTACTGAAGTCCAAGTAAATTATATCCACAGCATTCCTCTGATCCACTAATTTTGTCACTTGGTCAAAGAATGCAATAAGGTTTGTCTGGCATGATCAGTTTTTGACAAACTCATGTTGGCTTTTAGTAATGACTTTGTTTGCCTCTAGGTGTTCGCTGATTCGTTGTTTGATTATCTTTCCAGAATCTTTCCAGGTATTGAGGTCAGGCTGATAGGTCTGTAATTTCCTGGATCCATTTTTTGCCACGTGTCCACGCGTCGGCCTGGTGCACACGTGTCGGATGCATGCAAGCCCGTAAAGGCGTGCAGAATGCATCTCTGGAAGTGCGCTGCGGCTTACCTGGAAAACGTGTTCCTGGTCTAAGGGGGTATCCGACGCCCCAGTTTTTGGCTACTCTGGGCTTACAAGAGACTTACTTCTTCCCTGCGCCCGGCGATCCCAGCCCCCCCGGCTTTCCTTTTTTAAACCTCGCGCTATTGCGCGATGCGCTGCAAGACGGGCCTGGCGCCCGCGGGCACCCCGGCGGCTGCCCTTCCTCCCCCTCCCGCTAACTCCGCGGCTGCTGGGGCCCTGGGAGTCCCACCTCGGTGCGGACGAGCAAAACTGCCGGAGGAGGAACGGAGGAGCGGAGAAGGAGGCGGAGGAGGAGACCGGGCAGTTCCCAGGTTGGCGATCCTCCAAGTTTTGTTGAATGATTATTATTGAATTCTCTTTTTAAAAAAATCAATAAAACTTTATATAATTTTGAAAACTCAAGTTTTCGCACCCCCTGGAATATCGTCTCGCACCCCTGGTGGGGAACCTCTAGACTAGAACAACCGTCTGCAAAATTGTGAATTTTGCGAACCCTAATCCTATCCAACAAGATGAAATTTAATGTGGAGAAAATCAAGGTTTTACACCTGGGCAGGAATAACAAAGGTACAAGTACAGATTAGGTGGAACCTGGCTCAAAAACACCAACTGTGAGAGGGACCTTGGAGTCCTAGTGGACGACCCCTTAAATATGAGCCAGCAATGTGCAGCAGCCCCCCCCAAAAAAAGCTAATACGATCTATGGTCCCTTCCAGCTTTATTCTGAATTAAAAACCTGTTCTATAGGTCATGCACAAACTCTCCATTAGGTGGCACAAGAGGCACTCATCTTAAAAAACTAGGGTAACCAGGTGCAAAATTGTGGATTTTATTTTATTTATTTTTTCGCCAGGGAATAGCATTATCCCACTATCAAAGCGACAATTCCCCACTTTATTAGATGTAAATATTAGGAATGAAGTTTACGGAAGCCACACAACAGCAGGAAAGTTCTCATAGGATGCTAAGGGTTTTAAATCAACACAAGAGAGGGGTCCAAAATCCAGCGTTGGACCAGAACATTTGCTGGTCTGGTTCGACCCTCCGGAGCGCGCCAGGTTGTAGGAAAGATTCTTCGCAAGCAAACGGGACGGACAGAAAAGGCCGCTGCTCTGCGCACTCAGGAGAAATGAAAACAACGCACAAATAGCCGGTTTGATGCATGGTAGTGGTGAAGGTGCTGGCAAAGAAACAGGGAGACGGTGAGTTCTAGTCCCGCCTTAGGCACAAAAGCCAGCTGGGTGACTTTGGGCCAATCACCAGGAGACGGGGAGTTCTAGTCCCGACTTAGGCATGAAAGCCGGCTGGGTGACTTTGGGCCAATCACCAGGAGACGGTGAGTTCTAGTCCTGCCTTAGGAATGAAAGCCAAATGGATGACTTTGGGCCAATCACTAGGAGACAGTGAGTTCTAGTTCTGACTTAGGCATGAAAGCCGGCTGGGTGACTTTGGGCCAATCAGGGCGACGGTGAGTTCTAGTCCCGCCTTAGGGACAAAAGCCAGCTGGGTCATCCAATCACCAGGAGACGGGGAGTTCTAGTCTTGACTTAGGCATGAAAGCCGACTGGGTGACTTTGGGCCAATCACCAGGAGATGGTGAATTCTAGTCCTGCCTTAGGAACAAAAGCCAGCTGGGTCGTCCAATTGCCAGGAGACAGTGAGTTCTAGTCCCGCCTTAGCCATGAAAGCCAAGTGGATGAATTTGGGCCAATCACCAGGAGACGGTGAGTTCTAGTCCTGCCAGGCACGAAAGCTTATTTTCTCTCCGCCCAACCCACTTCAAAGGGTTTTTGTTGTGGGGGAAATAGGAGGAGGGACTTCTAGCCCTGAAAGGAAGAGTGAGTGGGCGAGGGGGGCATTTCCAAATCCTGGGGGGGGGGGGG